CACTGCGAGAATCCTCCAAGGATCGGCAGCACCAACTCAACGCTCATCCAGATCATATACAATACCTCACACGCTAAGTGTTCAAATCATGAGGGCAAAAGAAAAACTATGAATCATTATCTGTCAAACCTTAATAACGATTAAAACCATGCCTTTGATTTACAATATCTATCCATCTATTGATGAACAAGGTGCATGCAAGCAAATTATAACATCTAAAATTATTTAGTTCATGTTTTATCCATAAAAGATACCACGAGAAGAGTTCATGCTTAGGATAAAACACAATTAAATCAATATAGACTCCAACAAGCAGAAAACGAAGAGAGGTAACCATACAAGCTCTTTTGAGCTTTATTTCAACTCATACAATAATTTTTAGCACTCTGCGTAAACATACATTTTGGCAAATAAATACCTAATTAATACCTGCTGCAGCGCGTTGCCCTCAACACAAACCTCTCAATCAAAATAAAAAAATGGTAATAAAAATAAAAATAAAAAAAAGTACTTGACAAAAAAATGCTTTTAAAAATTTCCAAAAATTTCTAAACACGTTTTGAAAAATAATAAAACTTTGGTAAATGTATATAAACATGTAAAAGAACATGTTATAAAAAGAATTTTTCAAATTACATTTCCCATTTGTGAAAAATCAGCATTTTGCAAAATATGTCCAAAACAAGAAAAGTTGATATACATGAAATTTGATGTTTTGACATAAACACAACTTTGAAACATTTTCAAACGTTCTTATAGACTTAATAAAAGATGTATATCGTGATTGTTAAGTCCATAAACAAGAATATAATATTTTCTCAAAATTGCATATTCTATGTAATATATTCTTAAACAAAATAGAGTATGAAACATATGATTATATATATGAATGTAAATTTGTTTCATGTCTATATAGTTAAACCAAAACACAATAATAAATATGTAATCTCATATTTATAAGCATGAAAACTTAAAACTATGTATGTATATATATATAACTATATATATACATAGAAACATATATGTATATGTATAACTACATATACATAGAAACCAAAAACAAAAATGTGTATATATATATATATACACACACACACATAGAAACCAATATAATGTGTGTGTATATTATATTGAGCTTAAGGTACTTAACACACATAATATAAAACCTAAACTATTTACCCAAGCAAGATCTTGATCTTCAATAAGCTTGACTTGGTAAACTCACGGATGAAGCTAGAACTTGGATCTTCAACTTGAATTGCATAGGCTTCACTCCACAATTCCGCCAACCTCCATTGGATTTGATCGTTGAAGCGCAATCCATTCAACCTTCAATATATTGTTTGTCTACAATAAATAGATAAATACAAACACTAGACAAACAATATTAGTCGTAAATTATTTGTTAAACATCATCAAAACAAGAAAGCACAACGATTGAAACGATGGCACCATAACATGACACTAGTTTAAAAACTTGTGGGGGATTGTTGGATTTTTTTGGTCAAAACCGCTTTCCAAAATGAGTTTTCAACTATATATATATTAACTACAATTACTTTTCATAAATACTTAGTAGCCAAGTGGAAAGTTAATGTTTTGGTGTTTCAAAAGGTTCCTTGTTCGAGGCTTGCCAACGGCAAGCCGAGAAGTATTTTATTTGAATTAATCCCTTATAAGTTCTAGTGGGTCGTGGGTCGTGGGCCGTGGATCAGGGCTAATCGGGCTGAGGCGCTAAGTGGCGCTTTGTTAGGTGCACTTTGCACTTCGCACGGAGGCATCGGGGCGATGTGGCGCTGTTTGGCTCCACGTTGGCTGCCACTATGGTCACCACGGAGGCTGCTTCGTAGCATGCGGATGAGCTACATATTCACACGAGGGTGTGACCCTAGCGTTCTCAAAGTTAGACGAGGTTCGCTCGTCAAACGAGGTTCGCCTGTTTGACGAGGTTCACTTGTTCGACGAGGTTCATCTGTCATACGAGGTTCGCCTGTTTGACGATGTTTGCTCGTTCAACGAGGTTCGTCTGTCATATGAGGTTCGCCTGTTTGACGATATTCGCTCGTTCGACGAGGTTCGTCTGTCATACGAGGTTCACCTGTTTGACGATGTTCGCTCGTTCGACGAGGTTCGTCTGTCATACGAGGTTCACCTGTTTGACGACATTCGTTTGTCAAATGAGATTTGTCTGATTTGATGAGACGTGACCCTCGCGTTTCATAGCAACGCGTCCATTGATTGTCTCGTATTAATGAGTTACTGCATGCAACATTTACAACAATATTTAGAGTAATTTAATGCATTGATGTTACAATCTTAATTGTCATTGAGAATTGTAACAGTCATATTAATTGTGGGTGACTTTTGAGCTGGCCTTAGAGGCCTATAAATAGCGCCCTTGGGCAGCTCATGAACATACTCTTGCGAGCGTGAAATACGAACGTCGGTATATACACGTGAGCTTGGAAAAACGAACGTCGGATCAACGTTATTGTTGTTGTTGTGCTGCTGCTGCAGAAACTGTGCCCGTAGGAACTTGCCCTTAAACCGAAAGGTTTTGAACCAAAAGGTTCTGAGATTGAGATCTTTGCTTTGACCGAAAGGTCTTATAAATCGAAGAGATCTTGACAGTACTGGGTTGGTGCATACCAGAGTACTGTATTGCTGCTCTTGGAAGCAGTTTAGCCTTGGGATCATTGCACCAGAGTAGGCCAAATATTGCTTTAAACACAGCGTTTCTCAAACGCACAGCAGTGAACTGAATTTTTTTTTAAAATTACAGCACATCATAATTCTAGATTTAACCATAATTTCCAACAATAGATTCTTCTAAAATTTGGGTTTTCTGACTCACTTTAAGCGTCTTTTAGGCTCTTCTTTTTATTTAAAATCTATATTCCTTCAGAATGCTAATCATGATACTATTCTAAACAGCACCAATTAGTTTCTTGGATTGTTAGGAATATTAGCTGTTTAGACAATAACGAAAATCAGTTTAAGCAATTTAATAATTAACAGATAATCACGGATTAATATTGTAACGCAGATGTAAGAAATAATTCAAACAAAAAGAAATAAGGGTTAGAAATACGGCCTGATGGTCGAGGCGTGCAAGCACTGTCCCAAGAAACTAATTGCCCACTCTCGTACAGGGATACGCGGTAAAAGTTCCTGGAGATACAACGACCCTCGGTCAGGTGACCTCCTTCTCGTCGGCACGAGCTTCAAGAAGACTTTGTGAATTCTTCGTGACTTTCAGGGAACCAAAAATGTAACAATAGTAATATGAAGAGAAATAGCAGAGAGAAGAGAGAATACGTTGTGTTTTTCACACTGTATAAAACTCTTTGGTTTAGGTCCTTTTATAGGGTTAAAACAGCCGTTACTCATAAGCCGTAATTAATACGTTTTTAATCACGTTAATAAATCTTAGCCGTTATAAAATCAAAATATTTCCGTTACATAATTAATTCGCAAAATATTTATCACGTTTTTTTAATCACATTAATAAATCTTAGCCGTTATAAAATATTTCTGTTACAAAATTAAATCACGTATTTAATCATGTTATAAATGTTAATCATGGTTTTTAATTAGCAAAAAATAAAAATGTAGCAGATTAAGGGCCCATTAATCCGGAGTGGCATTCGTGTCCGCAGGTCGTGTGCGCGCACCACCCGACCCGAACCCGAGCCCGGCCGGCGCGCGCGCGTGTGGTGTGGAGCATAACCTTTGTTTTCTTCTAGGCATAGGAGAGAAAAGAAAGACTTATAAAGAGCCTATCTTCCCATCTCTTTTCCAATGTGGGACTAAACTTTTTCCTCTTTTCCTCTACAAACTCAAGTTTTAAGTTATCTTTATTATATAACTCCAACAACCACCGCATGCAATGAACCTCATATAGTTTTAGATAACACTGTAGCAGGAATAGAGCCCCATGTGACTTAAGAAACCCGCTGCATCACTCACTACACAACAACAGCAGCTCCTTTTAGAGTTCAGAAAGAAGAAGGGCACAGGTCATGATTTCATAGTGTGCTTGAAGAAGCGCCTACTATCAAGCTAAGATAGTTGAATAGATAGCTACCACCCCACCCCCAGTAAAGATCCAAGGCCAACCATTGGTTAGGTCTAATATAAGCAAAATCATCGATCCCTCAGGGCCAAAAAGCTAAGACCACCAAGATTGATGATCTACTTCGCATAGATCATGTTGTGCGTCTAACATATAGCCATCAAGAACTTCGGTTTTTGAATAGTTAGTTGGGGATCACACTCCAACTCAACGAAAGAGGAGGAAGTCTTGCAAGAGAAGAGCCACCGAGATTGATGATAATGAGCTACAACTTACTATTGTTAATATGATTGGGCGAGAGCTAGCGTACGTAAGACCGCCAACACTAAAAGTGGTCGAAAGAAAGGATTTGGATCCTCTCCACTACAAAAAAGTAGTGGAGAGACCACTACTTTTAATCTCAAACGTTGATTATTTAATAGACGGTTATGATACAATCTAAATCTAACACTTACTATACCCCCGTGTATTGCACTCATTCCTAATTTGCACTAAAAGAAAAAATCATAACCATCAACTAGATAATCAATGGCTGTGATTATGTAGTGGTCCCTCCACTATTTTTTTTGTAGTGGAGAGGATCCGAATCCCGAAAGAAAACCCAATCGTCAGATCTCTCGGACTATTACCAAGGATTGACTTATAGAATCCATTCCAAAACAACCAGGAAGGCTGCACTAATTCATATTATCATGTAGTGAACTCCACATATGATGAACTGTTCGACAATGAGAACTATGCATGCACCATAGATATAGTACAGTGAGTGCATTCTGATCGAGGTGAAAGTAGGCCCATACAACTAATTTATCACATAAGAAATATTCATAAAATCAAAAATATAAAGTGTTCTGCAAATACTCTGTAAACCTTATAAATCCACGACCACTCATAATACAAATGTACATGAAATTACAGGTCTTACCACAACAATATCAACATCGCAACAAAATATCAAAGCAGAAACTAGGAAAGATGCTGTCAAAACAGAGATATAAAATATAAAAACAAATTCAAGAGTTAGAAAATTCAGGCCTGATCGGGAGTAGTCGTGATAACACTGCCCTAGAAGATTAAGGACCCGCCTATCGCCCTGGCGCAATTTGTCCTCTCTCCCCTAGCGGTAAAAACCCCCGGAATCGGCCGGCCTCTGCACTCGGGCGTGAGTCACAGAGCTTATGCTCAGACGAAAACGGTTGCCCAAAGAATAGAAAATATGTAGCCGAATTTTTTCTTGGAGGTATAAGAGTAGAGAAGAGAAGAGAGTGTAGAGATTTTCCTCTTCGTTGGTGTGTTTCTGAATGAGCTCCAAGCCTCCTTTTATAGGTGATGAAAGGTGTAACCCCCGCTGAATCCAAGGGACCATTATGAACGGTTATTGCTTCCGTTACCCGTATGCAGCCGTTACAAAATGTGTAAAACGTGCAAAAATAAAGGCTTGAGAAGCAAAAAGGTGGGCGTGGCGTGCGGGCGNAATTATATACCCTATACTATTCATCTTATTTTTCAATGTGGGACTATTCACAAAGGCAAAATTGCCTTTTCATGAACAAAGCATCCAACAGTCCCCCCAAAAGGCAATATTGACTGAAAATAATAAATCAATAAATAAATCACAAAATAAATGTAGGTTGGGCAACCTTTCGTATCGTGAATTCGGGAGAGGTAGCTTTCGGCTTTGAACCTTTTCTTAGTGAGTTTATCGCCATCTGAGGGACATAATGGACTAGGCCTTGAATTAGACCCCTTGGATCAGGTATTGATAAAAACACACACAATACGTTTCATCTATTGAGCTAAGCGGGTTGAGCGTTAAATGCCATTCTTATAAAAAACCTACTCATGAGAGTTTCTAGGGGTCAGCCCTGCCCCCCCCAACCGCGGCCATCACGGTTCCTCTCACGTAGGTAAGTCCTCAAAGGGTACTACAGCTGTTTATTTAATACCCCCCACAATACACGCGTTGGACTTATTAAGAGTAAAACTCAGCCTAGCCAGCTGTATCATAAGAGCATTGTCACCATAGAGAAGGGGTAGTAGCAAATGCTACATAATGATATATAAATATATCTAGGTCGATGCTCCACACGAGAGTCACTTGTCCAGCTTGTTTCTACCACATTGAACTAACATTGGGATTACGTCTCCAAATAAGGGTTGGGTTGCCGCTGTCAGTGACCTCATTTATGGGTTTAGCCCCATCTCCCTCGATGAATCCAGAACCACACTCCTGGATAATCCCTTAGTCAAAGGGTCAGCAAGATTTTTCTCAGACTTTACAAAGTCCAAGATCACAACTTTGCCTAAAAGGCGTTGTACAGACTTATATCTTATTTGAATATGTCTGTTATGTTTTTTATTTACATGTACTTGCTTTAGAAGCTCTATGGTAGATCTAGAATCAGAGTGAATGGAAATAGGAGGAGAGGGTTTAGGGACCAAAAGAAGTTCAGAGAGAAGATCTTTTAACCATTCGGCTTCTGTGCAAGTAGTATCAAGAGCAATCAGCTCAGATTCCATGGTGCTCCTGGCAATTATTGTTTGCTTACATGATTTCCAGGATACAACAGCACCACCAAAAAGAAATACATATCCAGATGTAGACTTTACACTGTTGGAATCCGTGACCCAGTTGGCGTTACTATACCCTTCTATAGCATCAGGGTAACCAGTGTAAGTCAAGCAATAGTCAATTGTGCCTTTTAGATATTTGAATACTCTTTCTAAGGCAGACCAATGATCTTTGCTAGGGTTGCTAGTATACCGACTCAGTCTCCCTACAGCATAAGCTATATCAGGTCTGGTTCGGTTGGATATGTAAAGAAGAGATCCAATCATCTGAGAATATTTCAGCTGGGAGACAGGTTCACCTTCATTCTTCTTCAAGGGTATAGAAGAATCATAAGGTGTTGAAACAGGTTTAGATTCCTAATAGGCGTTGTACAGACTTATATCTTATTTGAATATGTCTGTTATGTTTTTTATTTACATGTACTTGCTTTAGAAGCTCTATGGTAGATCTAGAATCAGAGTGAATGGAAATAGGAGGAGAGGGTTTAGGGACCAAAGGAAGTTCAGATAGAAGATCTTTTAACCATTCGGCTTCTGTGCAAGTAGTATCAAGAGCAATTAGCTCAGATTCCATGGTGCTCCTGGCAATTATTGTTTGCTTACATGATTTCCAGGATACAGCAGCACCACCAAAAAGAAATACATATCCAGATGTAGACTTTACACTGTTGGAATCCGTGACCCAATTGGCGTCACTATACCCTTCTATAGCATCAGGGTAACCAGTGTAAGTCAAGCAATAGTCAATTGTGCCTTTTAGATATTTGAATACTCTTTCTAAGGCAGACCAATGATCTTTGCTAGGGTTGCTAGTATACCGACTCAGTCTCCCTACAGCATAAGCTATATCAGGTCTGGTTCGGTTGGATATGTAAAGAAGAGATCCAATCATCTGAGAATATTTTAGTTGGGAGACAGGTTCACCTTCATTCTTCTTCAAAGGTATAGAAGAATCATAAGGTGTGGAAACAGGTTTAGAGTTATGAAAGTTGAATTTGATTAGCATTTTATCAATGCTATGGGAAAGACTCAAAGATATTCCTCTAGTGTCTCTAGAGATTTTCATTCCAAGTATCATGTCTGCAAGACCTAAGTCTTTCATATCAAAGTTTTTGGAAAGATAATCCTTAACCTTTGAAATTAATTCAAGTGTTGTTCCAAAGATAAGGATATCATCAACATAGAGACAGAGAATGACATAGTCATTGTTTATCACTTTAGAATAGACACATTTATCGTATTCATTCACAGTGAAGCCATATTGTGCAATGACGTTGTCAAATTTCTGGTGCCATTGTTTTGGAGCTTGTTTAAGACCATACAAAGATTTAACAAGCTTACAGACTTTGTTTTCCTGACCCTTGGCAATGAGGCCTTCAGGTTGGTGCATATAGATTTCTTCATCTAAATCACCATTCAGGAAAGCAGTCTTGACATCCATCTGATGTATGATAAGCTTATGGATAGCAGCAAAGGCTAGTAATACTCGGATAGTTGATATTCGGGCTACAGGAGAATATGTATCAAAATAATCAATGCCCTTTTGTTGAGTAAAGCCTTTAGCTACTAATCTAGCTTTAAATTTATCTATAGAACTAAGTTTCTTCTTGAATATCCACTTACAACCTACAGGTTTACAGCCTGGAGGTAAGTCGGTGAGTATCCAAGTATGGTTTTCCATGATAGATTTAATTTCATTATCAATGGCTTCTTTCCAGAAAGGAGATTCAGGTGAATCCATTGCTTCTTGGAATGAGCTTGGATCACCTTCAACAAGAAAGCTAAGGAAGTCTTCTCCAAAATTCTTTTCGATTCTACCTCTTTTGCTTCTTCGAGGTTCAATATCAAGAGGTTGAAAAGAACTGGAAGATGGAAGATCAGAAGGAATGAGTGATCTGGGATTTTCTGAGATTTTAGATTTGAAAGGAAAGATGTTTTCAAAGTAGACTGCATCTCTTGC